CCTGCCGGGGCCCAGGCGAGCCCGGCACGCTCAGCCGCCAGCTGCCCGGCTGCTGAATTGGCTGCTCTGGAGGAGGAAAATCTCAGAGGAGAGATCCTTGGCTCTGGGAGAGACATGGAGGATGTGCCAGGCAATGCAGCAGCAGCGCCGTGCCGGCAACTGCTCCACAAAGCACCACAACGGCGGCTTGGACAGAACCACCCACGTCCCCAGTGCTGGAGGGGGCTACAACAGCACCGGGTCAGATGCTTAAGAGCACAATTGGCAAAAACAGCCAAAAAACCCCAGCAGCACCACGACATCCAGCCCCGTGTGCGGTACCTGAATGCCTGCGTGACTGCACAGGTAGAAGTCGAACTCAAAGGGGTGGGTGATGTTGGTATCCACTGTTGTTCCTGCTGGGATGTTCCCACTCTTCCCAATCTACAAGGAACAGAAAGAGAGACCCAAGCACTGCAGAGTTTGGTTATTTCCAGCTGCCCAGAGCACCGTCTGTAACACATCCTGTGCTCGTCCCCATCTCAGTGTGAGAGCCCACGCAGAGCTGCGGCCCCAGTGCCCATTTAGGGGGACAGGAGCAGCCGATCCTGCTCTGCTCCCTGCCCGAACAGGCTGGCTGGCATTTTCTGCAAGCATCAACACTGGGCACGACACGGACACAGAGCCAACGGCATCAGGAGGAAAGCAGGGTGAGAGCTGGGCACCGGCCCATCCTGCTGCAGAAACGAGGATTAAGTGAGCAGAACCCCAGGGATCTCTGCAGAGAGCGCACGCCAGAGTCTCTGCATGAGGTGTCGCGGCTCTGCACCCTCGTCAAAACCTGTCCTCAGCCCCCAAGATTAAATCTTGGTGCTCAGGTAAAGCCAGAGAGTGGTTAGACTACATCTAACCACCACATTTAGACCAAATCTAGGAAAAGCTGCAGCAAGCGGTGCTACCGCACAGCACACAGGGACACGCCGTGAGCAGGCAGGGGGTTATTCATCCCGTCACGTCAGCGGCCACAGCTATCACCAAAACAACAGATGTTTGCAGCTGACAGAGGCTATTTCAAGAGAGCCACCGGGATCATCAGCACCCCGTAACTCACCCTAACACCACACAGCTGCCTGGCTCTCTAGAAGCAGCCTAATCCGCATGGCTGCAGGAGTCAACCGAGCAGCGTTTAATTCAAGGAAGGGCTCTCTGCCTGCCCAAAGCTTTCCCCTCGGCAAGGCCAGGGCTGGCTCTTCCTAAAGGGCGGGGATGAATCAGCCGCCCCGGCACCCCACAGTGCTCACCCTCTCGTTCTTGTCTGCGCAGAAGAGCCGGGTGTGATGCCTTTTCTGGACGACGATGTAGGTGATGCCGGGCTGGTAATCCTTTTCCAGTTTGATGCAGGCGTCTCGGATCGCCAGGAGCTCGTAGTGAAGGATCTGGAGAGACAAACGCCCACGGAGTGAGGGGATGCACCCGCACCCATCCATCCCCGTGCACCCTGGGGAACCCACGGGTCCTCACCTGCGGGAGCTGCCCCTCGGGAACGCCGTCGCGGTAGAAGATGATCCTGGTGGGTTTGAAGCGGGTGGATTTGTAGAACTGGATGAGCAGCTCCCTCACCATGTAGGACAAGTCCTCGATGATCTCCTGGCGAGGACGCTGCACGCGCACCGTGGCACAGTAGCGGCTGGGGTGGGCGTCCATGCTGCCCACAACCTGCAGCGACAGCGACGGGCCCATGCATTACGACAGGGCACGGGGGACATGGGACACTCCTGGCCCCTGCCTCCTTCCAACACCCACAGCACAGCACCCAAGCTCACAGATGGGGAGATGGGACAGCAAATACTGTGTGGGCAACCAGCACCCAAAGGGACATCCCTGGTCGTGGCCACGTCCTGGTTTCACACTTGGCTGTGCCCTTTGTGGTGGTTATGGGAATTTCCAGTGAAATAACACAGCTGCTGTCACTGGGCGATGCGGCTGCAGGGGCTGTGGCTGCTCTGCCCCAGCTCCTCCGATGCAGGGGCACAGGGAGCAGGGCTGCCCTTCTCCCTCCATCCCTCACTCAAGGGTTTTTGGCTCTCAGGAAGGACTGTGTGACCCCAAACCCTGCTCTGCTGTTTCACCCCAGATACCAAATCCCACGCCAGCTGCAACGCCGCTGCGTTAACACTGCTGCTGGTGGTCAAATCACAGCAACACCAAGCAGCTTTGCCTCGGTTGGTCCTCACCCCTTCAACAGCCACACAACCAACCCTGCCCACCCCAGGCTGCCCAGGGACCCCTGCCCAAAAGGGGACTGGAGCAGGTCAGCGTTTGCCATCTGCCAGCACCACGTCCGTGCCCCAGACGCTGAGCTCTGCCTCGCTGGCTCTGCCACCTCCCGAGGACACAGCAGGGCCGAGTCACCGCACAGCGGCCGTGGAGCAGGGAGTTCCCATCACAGCTGGGTGCTCCGGAGGGGAGACCTCAAAGGCATCAGGGCAGAGAGGCCAAGGGCAGCCGGGCTCAGCTGTGATGCAGGGCCAGGGTGCAGAGTGAGTCATGGGTGCCAAAACAGGCACCAACCCACGCCGGGAGACAAACACGCGGCTGCTTCACTGCACCGCATGGTCCACATCCCCCCGAGTGGAGGGAAAGCACCAAGGACCCCACATCCTCCACAGCACCGGGCCCCTGCCCTCAGCCCCGGTTTCACTTTTGCTTCGCAAAGGGAGCTCTGGGGTCTGGGCTGCGCCAGTGGAGCCGATGTGATCCACACAAACCTTTCCTTCGGCCTCAGCCATGGACCCCCCTACTGTCTGATAAACAGACCAAGGACAAGATCAAGGCCATCTGAAGTCTTGATCCTTCTCCTCCCCTGCAGCTTCAAAAAAGCTTTTTTAAGAAAAAAAAAAAAACCACCCCGCAGCGGTCCTGTACAAAAACACACAGAAAATGTTTTCGGAGTGGAAGCGCCGCCGCCAGGAAACAGACTGTTCTGTCCCACCCACACCTCCAGCAAACGGCCAAGAGCGTTTCCCAACCCCTTCTAATTAAGAAAAAAACATTCCTCCATTTCCACGCCAAGGAAAACCTGAGCTAGGAGTCCTGGAAAGTGAAGAACTTCATAGGAAAACGCTGACGTGCTCCATTAAAACAGACGCTGCCAGAACCTGACACTGCTCTCACCCCAGCGAGCGCAAGGCAAGGTCCCAGAGGCACGAGCTGGCGCCCAGCATCCCTGGGACGTGACCACGCTTCCCTCGATGCATGCTCTGTATTGATCTGGGGTGAAGGCAAACCCTCCTCCCCAACACAGCCCGCTCACCCCAGCTCCCCCATCCCCAAAACCCCAGCTCTCCCCACTGGGGAAGGTCCCAGGGCGACCGGGATGATTCGGGAGCACAGAGGCTGAGCCCCCTGTCCTGTCCTGTCCTGTCCTGTCCTGTCGGGCTGGGGTCCAGCAAATCACCAGCCCCATCTGCTGGCAGCTGCCGCCTCCCCAAAACCACAGCTCCTTTGCAGCGAGGCAGGAGGGGACTGGGGACCCCGGGAGTGGGAGCAGATAGGGCACAGGACTGATAGGGCATGGGAACACCCTGAGAAGAGCCACTGCGGGGACAGCAGTGACACAGCCCCTTTATGGACACACAAGTCCCGTCCCCGCAGGGCTCTTGGGCACTGAGCCTGGTGCAGGCAGGGAACTCACAGCCGTTATGGAGGGCTTCTTCCCGTCTCCGGCCGGGGGGTGAGTGACATCGGCCCCGAGGAAGATCACCGGCTGCTGAAAGACGGCAGAGCTGGCAGGAGAGAAGGGAAAGCAGAGGTCAGCCTCTGGGGACATCTCGGTACCACGCACAGCCCAACGCAGGAGAGATCCTCTGGGACATGTCCCAACCTCTGGGACCTGGCCTGAGTGCATCAACAGCCCACTGCAAGGTGAGAGAGGCTGCAAACCCCATTTCAAACAGCTGCCCACAGATCCCCTGTTCCCCAGGTAAAACCAGGCAGGCAGCACCACCAGGGCCTCGGGAAATGAGCCCCACAAGGCGAGAGGCAGCAGCACACGCACCGCTGGTGAGGCACAAGGATGTTGTTGATCCCGCCAAGCTTGACGTTGATCTTGAGGCAGAGGTTGGACAGGGTCTGCGGGGAGGTCTTCACCACGTTCTTGACCTGCACGCACTGCGTGGCCATTCCCAGCAGGGTGTCCCCAACGCGCTTCACCTCGGCTGCGGGCGAAGGAAGAAGATCAACACTCGAGCAATTGGCAACACAACCGCTGCCAGCGGCGCCCTCGGAAACGGGCAGAGAAATCAGCATGAGAGGAGCAGAGCCACAGCACAGCCCCTCTGCTCTCCCCGCTCCCCCGGCCCCACACGCACCGTACACCGGCGTTTTCCCCGGCAGGATGACGATGATGAGCTGAAGCCCTGAATAGGTGTTCTTGAGGTGGCGAAACATGGGCTCCACGCTGTCTGCGCCCTGGGCGTATTTGCAGAAACAGGGCTGGCCCTGGATGGGCATCCCCGCGTCCTTGGAGATCTTGCGCAGCTGGTCCGTGAAGTTCCTGCGCCCAGGAGGAGAAGCCGTCAGCCCCGAGACATCCACACCACAGCTCTGCTGCACCCCGGCCACGGCACAGGACAAACTGGGACATCACAACACCACGGCCGTGGTTTTACAGCGTCCAGCAAGCACACAGCATGGGAAATGCAGGACCAAGAGATGCCAGAGCTGAACCATCCCCTCCTGGTCCCCTCTCCCCCGGCACCGACTCCTCCTGAGGCGATGGAGCTGAGCCGATCCCCGTTACAATGCTGGGAGAGCGAGGAGCAGACCTGCTTGTTTCTGGATGGTTTGAAAAGCTCACCCTCACCCATCAAACCAAAGTGCTCAGCCACACCTGGGATTTTTGGATTGCCATGGATAAACTGGATCCAGGGAGACCCAGAGGGAGTGCGGGGCTCCCAGCTCTGCCCCAAAGGGTCCCATACTTTGAGCTGCTCCAAACCACCCCAAACGTTGACCAAACGGCCAGGAGGGGCACCCAAAATGCTCACCTTGATGCATCCGCTCTGGGTCAGGAGAAACCCAAGTCTGCAGCAGAATCCAAACCCAAGGTGACCGTTTCCCCAAATGAAATGAACTGTCCCCGCTGTGTCGCTTTGCTATCAGAGCAGACTCTCTAAGCTACCAAAGCTTTCCAGAAAACCTAAGACTTCTTGGTAATAAAAACCCGTGGCGACTTAGGATGCTTCCTACTGAATCATGTTATTTCAGAAAGGGTACTGGGGAAGCTTTTAATTCAATATCCCTCACAGCCCTGCCTCTCCGAGGAGGCTCGGCTGAGAAGGGTTCAACGCAGCTTCAGGGCTGGCACTATCCCATCACAACACTGCAGTGTCCCCATGCCAGGAGCAGAGCGAGCACGGCCCCACTGCCACCGAGCGCTGCCGAGCGCCGCTGGGTGCGCTCCCCTCGGCCTGGCAGCCACTGCCATGGCTCAGGGCCCTGTGTGCAGCCAGGATAAACACCAGGCACCCCGGGTACACTGAGACAGCACCCAACAGCCAGGCGAACCCCACCGCATCTGCACCACGGGCACCGAGAGCCAGCGCTAGGGATGGAGGATGCGCAGAGCTGGGAGCACCACGGCTCCCCCACGTCCCCCCACCACGGCCCCTTTCCTTACTTCAGCACCTCCTCTCGACACTGCTTCTGCGGGGCAAAGCAGGCGATGGCCCAGACCTTGATCTCGATGCCGTTGTAGAACTGCTTCCCTCGCATGTCCCACACGCCCTGGTTGGGAGTGGCGATGGCCCGGTTCTGCAAGGCAAACAGGGTCACAGCGCTGCCGTGTCCTGCCCGGCCCCATGGAGCACCCCATGAGCCACGGTTCTGCTCCCCAGCACCAAAACAGGCACCCTCAATAGAGCCAACCCCTGCATTGTCAGGGTCTGATGGGCAATTCAGCCTCTCAGCTCCTCAGAGGTGATGGAAAACTCACCCTGAGCATCCCTCTCCCCTTCAGATCACTTTTGTGTCACCAATTGACTCTTGGCTACAGCTTTCAGAATTATATTGCAAGAAACCCCAAACTCAAGGCACTCCAATAAAAAAATGCCAGTTGTAACCAACATTACTGAAGGCAGCACTAATTTTGTTCGGGAACAGCGTTTTCAGGTGCGAAAGCGTCTCTGCACAACGCAGCCCTGCTTACCCTGCCTCCGTACTGCAGGATGGGCGCTGGCAGCACCCTCCCCGTCACCTCCGTCATGTCATCCTTCACCTTGATCCCAAACTCCTGGATGTACGGGTCCAGGTTGTAGCTGGCGTTCTTCATCTGCAGAGGGAAGGAAGGGCCATGGGAGGGAGCCAAGTGCTGCATCGCAGGCAGCTTCGGCTGCCCCAGGAACACGGGCACCCAAAGCCACGTCCTCTACTCAAGTCCTTGCTGTAAGGGGAGGGCAAATGGCTCAACACAAAGAGCCCAATCCCGTCCTCTAAACTGACCCATGGGACCCGATTTCTGACCAACGCAATCGAGAGCAGAGCCTGCTTCAATGGGAAGGTTCAGACTGGCATGAGACTCAGCTTTTTTTTCAATGTCCTTGGAATATCCAATGTCCCCGGCTTCAGGAGCCCACAGACGTTGGTTTGGGTCACACCAGCACCACGAACCACTCCTGCCTGGCCCCTCGCTGACCTGCAGAGCTCCTGCATCGCAGCCCCGCAGCGCAGTCCCCACAGACGCCCCAAGCCGGGGCCATTTCTCTAATTTTTTTTTTAGTTCCAGCTCCCTTTGGCTCAGCTTCCAGCAGCGCAAGGACCTGAATTTGCCGCACACGAGTTTCCACGGTCACTTTGAGCTGGGCTCCTCTATGTAAGTGTCCATTACACACACACAGGCGTCTCCGACCGGGGAGTCAGTGAGAACTGGGGGATAAAACCAAGCCACGAACCCCCCAGCATCTTCTGAGCGGGTCACAGCAGGACCACGAGGTTCACCACAGACACAATGCCACCAGCGCCCAGCCTGACATTGTCCCTGCCGCCCCTCGTGCCACGTACCAGGCGACTGATTTCCTCCTGCCTGTCCGGGGCAGACCTGGCCGTTGCTTTAATCATGGTTGACGTCTGATTATCTGTGAGCTTCTTGATGCACCGCTGGCCCGCCACGATGTTACAGACCTGCACGGGAGGGGACAGACACCAACCACGCATTAGGGATGGGCGACACACGGGGGTCCACATCTGAGCTGCCCATGGCTACAGCCAGCCCCAAACCAGAGGGGCTGAGCCTGCAGCTGCAGGAAAATGAGATTTTAATGGCGTTTTTCCTCCTTCATTTACCAGCAGCAGCTCTTGCCAGGTCAACATTGAGGCAACTGACTGCAGAATACCGTCACGCATCTGCCAGCAAAAGCCACTTGCCTTTGCTTTGCGCGGTGCCCGAAAGCCGGGGCAGAGCCAACACTCACCTCCAAGGGCAGGTAGGTGTGCTTCTGCTCCTGGCCAACCTGCAGGCAGGGCAGGTGGGGGTATTTCAGCTGCAGGTTGTATTTCTGCTTGAAGTACTGAGCCACGGTGCACTCCACGGTCTGACCGCTCTCCAGCTGCAGGGGGAACCTGGCAGGGGCAGGACACGGAGGATGCACCCACTCAGAACGGGCCCCGTGGACCCCAGCCCCGCTTGTGCTGCCTGGGATCGGGGAGCTGGGTCCCAGCTGGGATACCCAGACAGCAAATAAAGAGCAGAAGGGTGGTATTTCCAGAAATCCACTCAGGAATACTCTGATCCCAGTGCGGGACTCGGCTCCCTAAATAAAGCTCGTCCTCGCTAATCCAGTTAATCAGGGCGAGTGTTTACAGCAGGACATGCCACGCGTGCCGCTCCAGGTACAGACACAGCGCTGCCACGGGGGGATGTCTGTGCTTGGTGCCCTCCCTGGAACAAGACTTTCTGCCAGCGCTCAGGTTTGCAGAGCACAAGCCAAAATTTCTTGTTGCTCTGGGGTTTTTTGGGTTTCTGTTGTTTTTATTACAGTGGGGAGCAGGGCAGCCCCCCAACAACGAGGGGTGCCCAGAGGCCCAGCCTGCTCCCAGGCACACGCCAAACGATTTCAAAGCAGGGAACGGCTTCATCCCCCGACAAAGCTTCTGCTTCGGCAGCGTCTATTTTAAGCAAGGAGCAAACCAAACTTGGAGGCGAGACACAGCATCCCCTGCGCTCCCCCCATCCCCGCATCCCCTCACGGCGCGGAGCCGCTGGACCCGCAGCCCCGGACACGGCCCCTTTGGCCATCGCGGGTTGGTGATTCCCGTCCAGCTCTCCCCAACGACAGCAGCTGCCAAAATCCAGAGCAGCGCAGGTTTTCCAAGGGCATCTTCCCACCCGCCTTACGTCTGGTGGACACAGCATCCCCTGCGCTCCCCCCATCCCCGCATCCCCTCACGGCGCGGAGCCGCTGGACCCGCAGCCCCGGACACGGCCCCTTTGGCCATCGCGGGTTGGTGATTCCCGTCCAGCTCTCCCCAACGACAGCAGCTGCCAAAATCCAGAGCAGCGCAGGTTTTCCAAGGGCATCTTCCCACCCGCCTTACGTCTGGTGGCTGGCCGGCCGCCGGGTGACGTTACACACGCGGTATTTCCTCTTCATCTGCCCGCAGTGGGTCACCTCCACTTTCAGACCTGAGGGGTGACAGGGACACACTGCAGGGTCAAGGTGGGAGCCATTCCCCTTCACCCAACCTCCCCGGGATGTCACCAGCATCAGCCTTAAATAATTAACCATTCGCAGAGCAGACGAGCTTGCAGGGCACGATGGAGGCAACGGTGCCCCAGGAGGTGTTTTAGATGTGCACCCCCATACCCACACTCGCTGCAGGGGCTGGGTGGGAGACGAGGCAGGGCCAGCGTGTGGGGACCCAGGGGGCTCTACCTTTGATCTCCTTGGTGAAACGCACTCTCTGCGAGTCTGTCAGGGGCTTCGGCTGCTCGTCGATGTTCCGGATGTCCAGCACCTCACACATGAACTCGATGACGGGCTGGGCTTTGTAGAAGGCGGTGGCCGACACTGCGGGACAGACACAACGATGCCTCTCTGCTCCCCCCAGCAGCCGGACCTGGCCCAAGCGCCGGCCGGATCCAGGCTCCCCACGCACACCCAGCCCCAGAGCTGCAGCTCCCCAGCATGGAAAACAACTCACCGTCGATGTTGAGCATCATCTTCCACATGGCAGGCCTGACCGACTGGTTGAACCCGAACCAGACCTCCCTGCCGCCTCCCAGGGGGTGGTAATAACCTTCAGGGGGGGAGAAGAAGGAGCGGCCGACGGGGGTGTACCTACAAACCAGGGCGAACCGCGTCAGACAGCGCACGCTGCAGCGACCATGAAACACCCCCAGCCCCAGTGACCCACTGCTCGCACCACCGGCTGCATCACCCCGTGCATTTCCTTTGCAGGAGCATCTGGAGTGATGGCACCAAGCAGTGGGCACGGCCACCTCCTCCCAGAGGCCACCAAGCCCTCCTCCCAGAGGCCGGTCCCAGCCACCGCAGCTGCTCCCCTCCCCGGTGCAGGTACCTCATGGATGCCAGGTGCCTCATGGCCACGTCCAGCGCCTGGACGGACTCCAGGGGCACGGGGATCTGCCCGCTGACCAGCGCCTCGTGCAGCATGCGCCAGCTGACGATGGCCATCCATTTGATCGAGACCTTAAATATCCTGTCCTTGCCTTCCCCCGGGATCGTCACCTCAAAGTCAACCTGGGTGCAAAGGGAAGGGAAGCAGTGGTGGCATCCCTGCAAGGGGAGGAGGTTTTTGGAGCTGGTGGCAGGTCCCCGTGCTCGCCACCCCTCTTACCCTCTCGTTTCCAATGGGCAATGCCGTGACTGTGTAGATGTTCTTCTTCCCATCGTAGACCGGCTTTCGGTCGCCGAAGATCTGCGGTTTGAAGTGCTGCACCATGTACTCCACAACCTCCCTGCGCAGGCGAGCGGGGCGAGAGGAGAGAAGGGCAAGGTTCTTTATTGCAGGGTCCTTCACAACCCAACGCCTCCTGCATCCCACCCCATCCCCAGCCCCCCTACCCAGGCACCAGACAGCAAAGTGGGGTCCCCCCCGGGCAGGAGGGCTCCCAAACAAGCAGCTGGGAGTGATTCACTGCCCATGGCTACCAACAGCATCTGCTTGCTGGCCTTCGGGGCGCAGAGCTACCCGGGGCAGGAGGGGACGAGTAAGACATCAAAAAGAACAACAAAGAAAAGTACGCGATGGCCCGAGCTCTGGGGGCTGCTATTTTTAAACAGGAGATCGCTGCCAAAACAGCACAGCTGCTGCTGCAGAGGGACTGTGCTGAGGGTCAGGACCTCCGAGGCTGCCGGGGGCAGGAGCCAGCGCTGCGACCCCGGCCACCACGTCCCCCTGAGGGCTCCCACCCGTGGAGGGGGACACAGGCACCGACGGAGCCTCCAGGAGGAAACTGGGAGCGGGAAACGAGTGCCAAAACCTCTAATACTTGCCTTACCTGTTGACTCTGCGTGGACATTTGTCGGGTTTGATATCCACTTCATAATGGTACACATCGATCTTGGGAATGTCCACTTCAAAGTAGTTGGCCAAGAGCTTGATGGGTTTCCCGACCGTTCCTATCCCGGGCCGGCGCGGCGCTTGAAATACCTGCTGCAAGGGGGGCAGGTACGCGCCTGCAGCTGCGGGGAGAGCAGAGGGGTCAGCGGGGCTGGGAGAGACCCCAGACGGACAGACAGACGGACAACGCAGAGTCACAGCGCCCTCCATCACCGCATCTAAGCCAGGTCTCCCACTGCTGCAGCACCTCCACGCTGCGCCGCAACTTCTGTTGTGCGCAGTAACCGTCCCAATACGCAAACAACCAGAGCAGCAGCAAGAAACTCCTCAGGTCTGGGATTAAAACCAAGCAGAGCCTGGGATCTGCGCCGAGAGCTCGCCAGGGGCCTGCAGCAGCAGCAGTGATCTTCCTGCAGCACCAGGAGACACTGAGCCAGTGAAGGTGCGTTCAGACCAAGGCCTCCCAGGGCCGTGCTGTGTTTTTATGGCCCATCCCTTCCCTAGAGGTTGGACCGGATGATCCCTGTGGTACCTTCCAACCTGGTATTCTATGATTCCCCAGCTCCTGCAGGAGGAGTCCCCTGGGCAGCATCTCCCTGAGCATCCCCCCCTGGCAGGACCAACGGCGCAGAGAGAGTCAAACATCGCCTGCACAACGGTGACAGCGACACCAAAGCTGCCCATGGTGTGTGTTGCTGTAGGGGCAGCTCCAAAAACATCCCAGGTGCTGAGCGGGACACGGTGTGGGACTCGCTGGGTCGCAGCGGGAGGTGAACCCCACTCACGCGCTTTCCCCTCCGTCTTCCAGCGAACTCCGACTCGTTGCTGGAGGAGGACGCCACAAGAAACAGGAAACACGTTACTGCGTCTGCACCGCGCGATTAATGAACGGCAAGGGTTTGCAGGGTGACAGCTCGCCCTGGTTCTACACCGGCTGTTAACGATGGTGTTTCCAATGCCAGGTCGCAGGATAACTCGAGTCCCAGCACCTGAACTTTCCTTCTATCCTATCCCCTCCCCAGCACAATTCTCAGCTGCTGTTCAGCAAAACAACCCAAAAACGCCCGGGCTGGGAGCGGGGAGCGCAGCGCGGGGATACACAGTGCTCCATCTGGGTGCCCAACTGGCCAAGGCAGCCCCCAAACTACATCCCAGCTCCAAATTCGGCTCCTGAACACATGGTGCTCTTAGCACCGTGCTCCCATCCGCTTTCTTCTTAAATTCACATTTCAATTCCAGGCTAAAAATACCAGAAGCCGTTAAATGGAAGAGCAGCAGACTGAGCCTCAACCTCTTACTTTGCACCCATCTCCACAAGACTTCTCCTGCTGATGGAAAGCCACGGTGCTGCAGGACACCGAGGGGATGGGACGACCCCTGTGAGCATCCAGGGACCAAACCGCAGCATCTTCTGCAAAGCCACCATTGCTCCTGCTCTGCTGCCGCTTCTGCCCAGTGCCAGAGCCCAGGATGCTCCAAAATCTGCTGGGAGCCTCCAGCTTGGGCCGAACCCAGCCCCGGAGTCTCCTCGGAGCAGTTGGGTGAGCACGATGGGGTCTCAGAGGCCGATGTGGGGCTCAGGCCACAGCTCCCACAGCTGCTGTGGGACAGGGCGGCTGCCAGCGCCCCCGGACAAACGGCCGCGCCGCGCTCCAGGAACGGCTCGTTTCCAGAAACTCGTTTCCAGATGAGCCACTCGCGGCGTAGTTCACGTCTCCACATGATGAACGTTTCCTGGCCATTGCCAGCTCCCGGGCTGCGAGACGATGCGTTTTTAAAGCACGGATTGCAATCTAAGGGGTATTTGCCAGCACTGCTGGAGCCTCCAGTGCCTGCTCTGTCTTTGGAGCAAGAACACGTGCAGCCTGCTTGCAAGAGCCACAATTTCTCCTCTTCCAGACCCCAAGATGATCCCGGCAGCCGTGCACGAGCAGGACGGCATCACCACAGTGACCCTGTGGATGCAGCAGCGCTTGGGTGCTGGGCAGGAGCAGGTTTGGGGCAGGAGCCCACTGCAGAGGGGCGACCAAATGGTCCCGCACCCACCCCACAACCCCGGTCAGCCCAAAAGTAACAGCTTGCCATGCAAACCCTCGACAGAGGATCACCAGATGCGTAAAGCCTCACAATTAGGATCACGAATCAGAGGTGGAGTCAGCCTCCAGCAGCACTGAAGTTGGCTCAGGAGTTCGATGGGAGCCACGAGCCATCGCCAGCGGAGCCACAAGCCATCGCCAGCGCGCGGTGCTGCAGAGAGGAGCGGAGGGAGGGAGCAAAGAGCAGGGCAGGACAGGAGAGCAGCGCCGAGGATGGGAGAGCTCAGCCCAGGCTGACTCGGGGGAGTTCACTTTGGAGGCCCTCGAATGCGAGGAGCAGCCACCCAAGGGGTCACGCCGCCCTCCCAGCGAGCCATAACGACTTCTGCTTTCTAAATTACCTCGAGATCCAAAGGTTTTTAAGTCGTTATGTCTGCACACCGCCTGGCGCAGCGCTGCCTGCCCGGGACGTGGCTATTTATAAGAGCGGTGACACGGGGACAGCCAGCACGGGGAGAGGACCGGGGGTGATGGGAGCTGTGGCATCCGGCACCTCCGCTGTGAGATGAACTCTGGCCCGGCCTTGGCTGCTTCAGCCCAGATGGGAGATACCCCAGAGCCTTTTTTAGGTGAGGGCTCCTCCTCCTGCACCAAGTCCCTGTCCTGGGGTGCTCAGGGTGCCCCCACGATTTGCCTTGAGAGCTGCCCTCCGGCTGGCTCAGGGGATGCTGCGTCTGTGAACCGGGGCACTTTGTGGCATCC